CTCAATTCGCATGATACACTCCAGCCCATCTACTTTTCAGCCAGACCTTAAACACCAGCTGTCAGATTCCGTCTGTTGTCGACAACAGAGACGATTTCGATTTCACTCAGAATCCCAGAACTGTATGCACAGAAAATTTCTGTTCAAACCCTTGGTCTACTTTGGCCACATGGCTGCACGACTAACACTGACGATCACGCCAATTTCCCCGACTTCACATTGACGAAAACCATCTCGCAGTCTTGTCGATTGTGTATTTCGATTCAGTGATTAACTGAGTTTAAATTTCATCGTGTCCATTCTAGCCTTCTTAGTTGTGGTTGTAATAGCCTAATGATAAACCACTGAAAACTACCTGTTCGCTCCCTCTTGCTTTTGCTGGTTCAGTTTTTCTTAGTCCCCATCAGTGCCCCATTATTTAAAATCTGACATCACTGACACGCAGTTCTAATCATCGAATTCGATACAGTGTGGCTTCAAAATGACCACACCGTTCCGCCTCCGGTAGCCTTGGCGTCACAGTCTCATTTACAAATACCGCTACGTTTTTTAGGTCGTTCAACAGTTGTAGTCTCAGAGGTTTAAATATGAACAATGCCTCGGACAATCCAACTTACATTACTTTGTCGCCGGTTCTAGTACTTCTATTTGCAACCCCATTTTATTGTCAACTTCGAGCGTCTAGAACTCAGATTTGCACAAGATTTGCACAGCGCTATCAAATGTTCTCTCTACGGAATTCACTGTACCGAATTTCACACCGAGAAGATGCATCAAGCAAATTTTGCAGACATTACGCCTCTTTGCTCTCTGCAGCTTCTAATCTGCTTATCTGTTTCCACCTTGAGGTGAGTTGCGTCCCTGCTGGGCTCACATGTACGGAACAGCCGCTTGGTCCGATCAATTTCGTCGTCCATCTATCTACAAACATACATGGGTCATTGTTACCTGCAAAGAGAATGCTTGCTTATTAGTTGGTCCACCGAGATGGTCGGTTCGTGTATAGTGTTCGGCAGGGGTTTATATATATATATATATATATATATATATATATATATATATATATATATATATATATATATATATATATATATATATATATATATATATATTCAAAACGACCAATAGTACAATTGGCATAGTGCCATAACGTATGAAAAATGCAATAAACATACGAAGATAGGGGGGAAATACGATGTTCATGGGAATAGTGTCACAACAACTCCGCCGTTGTTCGCGACTGCTTGCCATATCCAAGAACATTTCCAGTTATGTGTGTTCTGGATCCTTCACACTCCAGCCAGGGAGCCGAGAGCGCCCGACCACGGCTAACTTTGACGTTAGCTCCTTCATGCTCCTGGCCCAAGTCATACCTTGACCGCCTTGCTTTCACTTCCAGCCCAAGTCTGTGTGCGCGAAGAGGGCACCGCGAGATAAGCAATGTGTAGACATGCGGAGAACGTGTCCAAGCCACTGAAATCTGCGCAGAGAAATGATGCTGCTCAGTGGCCTGCAACGTTTGTCTGATCTGAAAATCCTTCATCGAATATCATTCCTAATGTAATGTTGCCATCGTACACCAGCAATGCTCCAAAGGCAGCGGTGATCAAAAACAGACAGCCTCTCAACATCCTTTGCGTGAACAGGCCGTTTCGCAGCCATAGGCGAGAACCGCTCTCACTGTGGCATTGTAAACGGCTCTTCAGAGATAGACTCAGATCACCCCGATAACAGAGATGGCGGAGATTGGCAAAAGCAACCCGAGCTTTGGAGACGCTCAAAGAGACCTCATCCGTTAAAACCATTAGCGCTGAGGCTGCTTCCGAGGTAAACGAACTTGTCTACCACTTCCAGTGAATGACCTAGAAGGGTAAAATCAGGTTGTCTCAGCGGCCAGGAGTCAACAATCGTTCACCAGTTTTATTGCTTTAATTTAGCACTTGCTTTATTTCTCGACAAAGTAGGATCCCAAGACAATCTGCTTTATACTAATTGAATCGATCAACGCATACCTCAATCCAAGTACATCGCGTCAAGTCTGATATTTTTGTTTCCAATGTTCTTATTTCCTTGTTGGTCTCTTAGAACACTAGGAGCAGCGAGATGTTTCACGAGTTGATTTTTACCTTAGGTTTGGTTCTTATTTGTCCTTTTTGGTGTCCACAACTGATGCACCTAAATAGCTCAAACGTTAGATGACCATACTCATCTGATGGTCCATACTTGCTATGGGATCCGGTTTAACTATTGCTTTAAGCAAGCCGTCTAGGAACTGATCTAATCTGTATTTGCTGAATGCGACTCCCTGTGCTCTAAACATGATCCACCAAGACAAGGGGACGTACACTTAGTGCGCGCCGCTTGTTTCTTGGTATTCACTTGGGCCTTCAAACGAGATCAACGACTCTTCATTGGCACAGCTTGCCCCTAAGGTCAGCCCACAACGCAGTTAGGTTTTCACCATCGGCCTCCACCTTGACTGACTCCGCCCAATTCCCTCTTCTCGAGTAACTCAACCGTATTCATCATCAAATGACTGGCTCCGAAGTAATTCACTGCCATGGAAATAGATGGATGTTGCCCTTTCCAACACTGGCACACCACAACCGCGGTTCCGTCCTGGTTTGAACTCGTCAGGTGGAGATAGCTTGAGCTGGGGTGGACTTCAGAGCCTAGTAGTTCATGACTGATTCCCTGAACACTATGCTACTGAGATTCGCGAGCAATGCTTGGCACAGCGGAACACAATTCAAAGCAGCATTTAGGCAACATGCTGTATGGTTGGGTTGCGACTCGCACCCTCTATAGAGACCTCGGTTTACTTTGAGGTAACCCTCGATCATTCCGATGAGGACCGAATCTGGAATGGAAATAGATGGATGTTGCTCTTTCCAACACTGACACACCACAACCGCGATTTCGTCCTGCTTTGGACTCGTCAGGTGGAGATAGCCTGAGTTGGGGTGGACCTCAGAGCCCAGTAGTTCACGGCTGACGCCCTGAACACTATGCTACTGAGATTCGCGAGCAATGCTTGGCACAGCGGAATGCAATTCAAAGCAGCATTAATTCACTGCTAATCACTCTATAAATGCCTTGTCCAAAGACCGCTTCATTTCCCGATACTACCAGGGCGAAGGTCCTCATCTGCTTGATTATTCATTCCTTCTAAGAGTGCTTATATTGAATCTCGGTCTAGCACCCTGCGCGTTCTAGCTTCCATTAATGTTTCATTGCAGCCTGGAATACGCTGCGCAGCGCACACACCTGTTGAGTGCTCGTTACTCGTGCTTGGCTGACTTCTGACTCGACGTACGACCGCAATCTGTACTTGTGCAACTGCACTGGAATCTGAATAACACTTCTTGAGAATTGCGGTCTCAGCTGACCACATCAACTTTCCAACTTGGGCTGTTCTTATCCCTACTTCAACTGGGACGCACAATTAGGTTTCCGTTCTCTGAAAACATGCTTTATGTGTGCCTCCGCATTTCGATCTGTTTTACACCGCTCTTCAGTTTCCGTTTACACAGCTAAGCACAGATTGCTCGCCACCCATCAAAGAATCGTAACAACTGCACATCCATCCCGGTTGTGGTGGGGGAGCGAATCTGTTATATCGCCAAAATGCTGTCATTGTTCATTGTACTACATTTTTGCTAAAACCCGGAACAGTTATTCACCGCATTTGCCCCATAGAGTGTGTGCTGAATTCCCTTTCGGCGCTAAGATTTCCGCGCATCAGCCTCTGTGCGGCATCCAACATTCGCATCCAATCTGAGGACCCTTCAGTGGGATATTTACGCACGACACCTCATTGGGTATGGGATTTGGGCAAACAGCGTTCTGAACAGGAGTTCACTGCCTGTGATCACTTATCTTCCACGCAGCAAACAATCTGACTTACTCCCATAAACATATCGTCATCGTTGGCGGACGTCTTGCTCTTTTGCGCCAGTCTGAGCATGTTCATTGTTCTTTCCCCAACCAAATGTCTCCAATCATTCGATATCATGCGGTTGCTCGTTTTTCCTTAAGTTTCACTGGATCTCTTGTCTTTAGTAGGTCCAACAGAACATAAAACAATTGATGTTTTTCCCCAGTAATTCAGGAATCTTAGCATATTCAACGAGGATTAGACGAACTTTTGACTTTTTCAAGCTTCCGGTCCGTGTACACTAACCCTTCCAAATGTTGTGTGATGTCACATTCTCTTTTGTCTGCCCCGGCAGACTGCGTTCCCTCTTAATCATCTCTTTTCCTTTGGCCATGCATCCCTCATTTATCCACCTTAAATTATTTCGGTTTTCTTGTTTTACAATTTCTCCTGTTTGGCACATTCCTGTAACTATTCAACAAGTCAGAGGATTTTACTTTTACGCTCTCTGAGGCTCTCTGTACCCTGTAAATGCATGTATTCTCCATTTGTTATACTGTTCTCCTGTGATTCCATCGTACTTCAAAAGAGTCCTACTCTTGTGTCTTGTTGCTCTGAAATAACTTGATTTTAATATTAGTAAGTATTTTGACACACGCTTCAAATTTTCATCCAAGCTTCCAAACGACACTTCTCACCCCGTACACACTGTTCGAGCCGGTACGGCAGCTGTTTCTTTCACGCGGTCGCAATTCTAGGTTGTGTTTTATCGTCCCTCTTCGTATCTCAACTCCATCTTGCCCTATCTGTCTCGCTTGTTAATCGACCCACAAGCAGCGCTGCATTCATTACGAGACTGTTTGAGTGAAAGCGCACTCTTTCTGTTTCCATCGTCGTTGCATTTTGCCCATTAATGTTATGTCGTAGTATACCCGCAGTGTTGGTGCAACTTGCTGAAGATGCTTCCGGACGCGTGTGTAAAGCTTGTTCTGATTTTACTTAGCCATGCATGATAAATACCGATTTGTATAGATCCCGATTATTCCCTACTCTTATTGTTCGCATCCGAATCTGTTACCAGCCTTGTTTGTATTTTATTATACTTCTTTTTCTCTCTATCCAGGCACTTCTGAGGGATCATATGTACAGCAAACACCTGCGAATTCGACGCCTCTTCTGTCCCATCTGTCACAAGGGATTCATCCGAAGACGCGATTGGTCGCGCCATCATGTCAAGCGTCATTCCACATCTGCGTGTCGTCCCACTTAACTTATGTCTCTTATTCTTGGTGTTCTATTATTGCGAAGACCTGGCATAACACGTATTTGTATACTATATTATATACATAAATAGATGTGCTATTCTAGACAAGGCGAGACACGCATGCATACGTACCATTATGTGCGCGGTTTACGGCACCCACTCATGTTATCGCGCCACACATTCACACACACACACACACACACACTCAAAAATGCGTTTGTTGTACACGAAAACTAACGAGTTTTTTTACTTTAGTTCGGTTAAACAAAAATAACTGTGGGCAACTGGTGACAGCGTAGCAAGACTTTGTGCTCGGATTAACTTTGCCTCATAAACCGGCGACTGTTTCCAGGGCAGCCATCGATGGTGTCTGTTCTGTATGGTCCAATTAGCAGCCTGCTTCGTCTCTTTGATCCATTCCGTGTTTTTTTCCACCGATTGCTCTCTTCACAGTAAACGAGCCACCAGGGTTGCTTGTTTATACGTAAGCTTTGTTTCTCTTCTAGTGCAATACAATGATATTGTGAAATATGCTGCACTCAGTAAGACATTGCACCTCTGGCTTCCGAGTTAAAATTTCGTGCAGTTAGTTTCGTCAGGAATTGATTTCATTCACTCATCTTCTACTTGTCCTGTGATCTGACGAAGCGACCGGCGCGTATTTTGGTACTCTTCTAATCCAAGGCCATAGATTTATTGGACAAGTGGATAATGTTCACTACCCCTCCTGGTGTCATAATAACGCCTGTTCGGTCACATAATAAACCAGAGGCACATGAACTGAAAAATCGATCGCCGTCTATCAATAGGCGCTGTTTTCTTAATTCGCCACACTTCATTATGGGTAGGCTTTCGAGTCCAGTACTCAGGTGTTGTCCCCTAAGTCAATTCCCCACCTCTACTTCGGCAACCGAGTAGTATCGCGCCGTCCGAAACAATCGCTGTCCTGCTCTTGTCCCCATCGTCCCTCACGAATCTCCATCACAAGTCGACTAATTTTCCGCTATTAATTCCTGGTACTCTGGTTAAATCCCGGTGCTGGTTTCGCTGCTGTCTGTGAAATGCAACCACAATCGTCGTTTCCACTGCGACTTATGTATATCTGGTCTCTCTCACTGTTTATACTTGCTGCTCTTCCGACACACGGTTGCAAGACCCAAGCACTGTATTCAAGCTAACATCTCCCATCAAGCCACATACAACCTATATCTATTTGGCGACGCAAAGGCAACTGCTTCTTATTTGGTTGGTGTTGGCATGGCATTAACTGGCAAAGCCGCGTCCGCATTCCTTGGTTAATTCCTGATTAATAGCCGACTGTACGGTTCAGATTTGTCGTTCATGCAGGATCAACAGGCATCGAGATAAAAGGCTCAAGTTGTTTGTGGTTTCAGCCTGTACACCAGCCAATTGTAGCTGTGGATGGATCAAAGACGATTTTTATTTTCAGCTTTTGTTCAAAGCCAATCAATCGGACGTCATTGTCCTCGTCTGGGACTTCAACTCATGTGTCAGTCGGCTGCTGCGAGGTTGATACCACATCGCTGGTCATCATGCACTGAATGAGAGTTACTCGCACATTTTGTGTGAGGACAGCGGTCTATTTCTCGCAGGCATAGGTTTTATTCACTCCACGATGTGCTCTATCACCTGGCGTCCTTCATCAGCGCAGACGTGGCTTCAAATAGACCACCTCGTAATCAGCCTCGAACGGCATGGTAACATACAAGACTGTGGGTCGCTTTTTTGTGATTCTCTTTATTCAGAACGCACACTACTCTGTGGGAACATTCGTATTCGATTGGGTGGGGGCAAATCTAGGATTTTTATGTTACTCTGAGTAGCAGGATTTTATTGAGGTTTTCATCCCAGTATTTCACAAGTTGCATAACACAGCCTAGTTCGGAAGAGCACCAGAGGCGTTTCGCCCTATTGGGGCTCGTCAATGGTGCGCATTCCCTCGGTCCCCTACTGGGGATCGAATCCATGACCGCTAGAGGCAGATGCCAGCAACTTAAGCCATAGCCATGGGGGACGTTAGCTGAGCTACATAACTCGCGATCTAACTGGGATATAGCACCACCTATCTTCCACTGTCACTGACGGTTGCTAGCCTGCGAGGTGATAGCGCCCTCTCACTAGACGCTATATCCATAGCACTTGAAACTGGGGGAGGCGATTTATTTGTCTGGTATGACTTTCGCTATCAACCTACAGCCATTTCCTCACTGATAATGTCACCACATTACTGACGAAACGTCTGAAGAAAAAAAACTTCCTAAACTCGGCGAACACATGCACAACTGAATCGTCAATCCGAGCTACCGGTATTCCGGGACAATGTAACAAGCCTAGCTGATCAGTTAGCCCAGCTAAACTATTAGCAGTCATTCTCAAACACATTAGCCTGTATTCTGCCTACGGACTTCGAACATTGCTGAATATTCTAGCAGAACACAAGCTCACATTTGACCAATTACCTGTTGAAAACGGACTTCTTCGCGATCTGTTACTATCCGATCACCACCGAACTTTCCCAGTGAACTCAAACCCGAATGAATTTCACCGCATTCAAACGAAATCTGCGCGGCGACTCTGGTGATCCAAACGCGCCGTGGAGATGGAAATCGCCGCTGTCACTGAAAAACTCGCAGGATCTTCCAGTTCATTTGGACCAATAGATACAGGAGGTCTGCTGCCAGCGATATTATCTACGAAGCGAGTAGAATCACAAATCTCTAACTGCCGAAACGCATATACAGATCGTTTGAGCATTTTCGGTCTCATTTCCTTTGTACCTCGCCTCCCTTTTTTCTTTTATTCCCCTTTTTACCCACATTTATAATATTCCTTCTGCAGTTCCCAACTTAGTTGATGGCAGTTGCAGTACCAAGAAAGTCTTGCCCTCTGTAACCGATAAGATCAGCCGGTCGTCTGGTGCTTGGGAACTTCTGTGACGGACCTACATTTACCTGCGTCGAGTACCCCAAATGAGTATATATATATATATATATATATATATATATATATATATATATATATATATATATATGCTGAGGCAGATGTTGCATTCATTATGCTTCCTCATCGCAGTTGAGCTAAACCAACTTACACTTAAACTAGGTCTTTTTAAGCTGGATAAATTTCATTCTAATTTATTTGGTTTGTTCTATCTGCGGGAATAATCTTTTATTAATTTTCCGCGTTGCTTACGGTAATTGTGCTTATCTTCGTTAACTTTATTGGGTTTGTAGCATTTTCTGAGTCACTTCTGGACATTTTTACTTATCGCGGATTCGTTGCTAACCAACGTACTTCATACGTTAATTTAGGTAAGAGTTATGTCTGCATATCCGTATTCTTTAACAGATATATTTTATTTGTTACTGTCATTCCAAGTGATTGGCTGTTGTTTGACTTCCCTGGTGCGGCTACGCTTGATGTGCATGTTGACAAGGTGTCTACCTGTCTATTACCCACTACCTCGTCCATACTGGCTCCAGGAGATAGTTGGTCCTTGCTGGAGGGGACGGGGTGCACGGTCCTTGTGATCGTGCTAGGCTCGAAGAGTGGTTCCATGCACTCAGTGTGGAGCAGACTACGGTCCAGCCACCGCCTTGGGGAATCACCCAAAGACAGCGTGCTTGTGTTTGCCTGAGAAGGAGTGTGGGCCTGCTCCGTTGATGAAACGTGGCTCCCATCCACATGCCTCCCGGTCTTATTCCTTCGGGTTTACACTGGATATGGGGTGTGTGGTTGGAGCTGTGGGTGGTGCAGCACAAGCCACCCATGGTCCCTCTGTAGGCACAGGCGTCCAGTGGCTGGCCACAGTGACAGGCAAATCCGAAACCGGATGCCGCCAACCATATATATATATATATATATATATATATATATATATATATATATATATATATATATATATATATATATATATATATATATATCGCTTGGGCATCAGCAGTACGCGTGTCGAAGCTTCAGTGCCATGCGACCACCGGCCGCGCGTAGGTTACGGATACTGCACAAGTTCGAACCCGCGACCTCCGGGTTGCAAGGCAGACGCCTTGTCCTTTCGGCCACGGGCTGGCAATATAACACGTGACCAATATACACTTAGTGGACTACCACAACACATGAGCTAAATCAATGAAAGTTGATTAGCACTCAAAGGAGGAGTCTCACGTATTTGGTATGGTGTGCGGTTCTTGGCTATTTCCGACCAGGAATGCTCGCGGTCTTTGAGTTTCTCTTCTGGAAGACACGTTCTCGCAAGCGCGCATAAGTAAGCAGCAACTCCGCCCACTCACTTTTGGCAGACAGTCGCGTGCGTGTGAACTCACTTGCCGCACTCGCTTACTTCTCACATTCTTGGGGATCCGCATGTTCCACTACGTCCCGGCTCTTTCGCCTTTACCCATACTATGTGGAAGTTGACACATCGCCAGCTTCGGTGTATAGTCGACACTGTGCAGCTCTGTACTTTCCTTTTGCCGGGTCGTAAAAGCACTGTCATAAATCTGCTCCCTCTCCCTTGGGTTTGGGTGCGTCAGTGGTGGGCGTTGCGTCGCGCGTGTGTTGGAACGAGTTCCGACAAGACTGTGCCGAGGTAGTACTCACGGAGGCCTTGTCGCTCTGATTAAGTGGGCCGTTACAACTAAGCTATTCTTCCAGTCCCCAACTCGGGATTCGGGAACATCTTGTTGCGGCTGACTTTGTTGTAGGCACCTTGATACCCTGAGCCCGAGTTTTGCGAAAACCGCCTCCAGTCAACGTCGGTGCGCGCAACCAGAGCGCGGCGGAACAACCGCTGAGCAGATATACGAAGCACATCTATCCCATCGAAGCTTTTGCAGAGCGGGTGGGCAACTTAGTGGTCGATGGAGTCTGTCTACCTTGAAAATCCTACGGCGTACTTTACCAATACGTGGGTGTCATTGTAAATCAGCGATGATCAAAAACAGACCGTCCCTGAGCCATTAAGTTTGAGCTTCTCCATTTCAATAGAGTATCCTGGACTCACATTGAGCCATGAATTACCGGGTTCACTCCACGTGAATACTGTAAGAAAATCCGAAAGAATAAATATTTCTGTGTAACTGCATCAAAAATGCATTTGGTACAAAAGCCGGTTGTGTTGGTGAGCATTCCTGATAA